CTGCACTAGTATCGCAGAGGTCAGTGGTTCGAATTCCGGACAGGCCTGATTTGTTTCAGGTCTGAATTTCGCTATTGCATAAATAGCGCTTTCTACTGCGAGGATCGTGCATCATACGTGAGTTGGTAATAGAAATTGGCCATCTTGAAAAGATGCTGAAGCTAACATTTCGAGCGTTAGCCCTTTGCCATTCGCTCTGACGAAGGGCTAATACTGCAAACGTTAGCTTTAGAACCTCTTATAGGTGGCCAATTTGCATTATCAGCTCAGGTGATAAAACCAAATTTTCTTGTAATACCTAATAATTCACAGTTTCTTTAGAAACTTATCCACTCTAGAACTCGACTCCTTCACGCGGAGGATACTAGAAATAATGCTTTCACAACATATTTTCACACTCATTTCCAGGCCCTACAACCGCGATGACTGCGTTCAAATAGGTTACCTTCAAGGCACTAAAGTCAACGAAGGGGATAGAAGGGAACGTAAATCTCTGACATGCACATATGGATTCATGCGAGGCGGAAGTTGGTATGATGTGCGCCTCAAGGTCAGCAGAAGTGAAGTAAAGGTTTTCATAGATGACGTAGAGGTCGCCGCTTTCAAAAGTCGTTTCCCGACTATTGGGCGCGGTGGAGTCATGGTGGCCAGCGGTTACAAGCGGAAAATAAGCTTCAAAAACTTTCGCATACTATAATTATATTAATGAAGAGCTGGGAATATTTACCCAATCCGCAGCGGTGATGCGGCTTTGCAAAAATCTCACGTTTCCTTTCATAGGGAAACGGATAAGAACTGGAAGTTTAATGCGACATCATGTACCTGGCAAATTGGGAATGTTTAAAAATTCGAAACTGGAAATGTTCAAGTAATACAATCTGCAAACCTCTCTCTTTCCCTTGAATAGATTTTCTTACCCTTAAGACAAATTTGCAATTATAATTTCAAGTAAAATAACGTCGAAAGGAAATGTCGTTCGGCTAATGTATACAGTAATGACGACTTGAGTTTTTGTTGCTTGTAATATTTATGAGCAAGTTCAAATTTTAACGAATTTAAAAATTTTAAACAAATTTTAACAAATTTTAAACTAAAATTTTAACGAAATTGGTCAACTTTCCCCCACCATGTTCAGGCGGATATTCGGTTTATAAAATCAGGTTTTAACTTGTCTTACCTGTTATCGTCTTATATCGATTATCTTCATGTATGTATCATCGAGCCATCTAGAAAATTTCTCTGACACGGTGATGTACCATGTTACGAAGAGATCATGATCTCTTGATGTACCATACACCAAGTAAATTTAATATGTATTGAACTATACAATAACTCTATTGTTCCCATGCTTCCAACGTTGTTCAGGGAAAAATGTTGTGCTTTTTTTAGCCTTAATGGTATTCGTGGCTTGGTAAGAGGTGCAACAGCCGGCAATGAAAAAGATATCAAAGACAATAACATTATATTAACGTATCTTTTAATATTTTAAGCTGACAACAAGGTAAAGAAAGAAGATGACTTTCCAAGGGTGCTTTGTTAAGAGTGAAGCAGTAGTTTAAATAAATGAGTTAAAAAGAAACTGAAGAAAAGGCTTGAGTGATCGTTTCATTGTTGATATTACCTTAAAACGGATATGTTAAATCGAGGCCAGCGTATACAAGTTCTTTCTTGAGCTGATGCAGTAAGTTGTTTGAACATGAAGCAGTGGGTAACTTTTTATTGAAAAAATTGGGCTGGAACGTCGACAAGCTTTAATTTTGTAGTAATATTTTTTTTTGCTCTCTCTCATAATGATTCCAAATGATTTTCTCAACAAACAGTTGTTTTCCATGGAAACCGAATCTCTCCCGTGAAATTGTCAATATAGATCGATTGACTCTGTAAAAGTTGGAAAGCAATTGTCTGAAGATTGTGCTTAGAAGACTAATAAAAAAACGCATAAAATGATTTTATGGTGTTACGATATAAGTTGGGGAAAAATTGACACGATATCAGTTTGTAATATGGTCACAATGTTAGAGATTTTTTAATTCTACTTCGCTGGTATGAGTGTAAGATCAGAAGAACCTTTCATGGCCGTTCATTTATCTGCAAGAATCGAATTTTGATAGTCACCCATTTCGCTGGATTTTACTCCCGCTTTTATTCATGAAAGAATTTTGTATTACGTAACCCATCGGATATTTATGCTGTCTTTGATTAGAAGCTCTTTCATTGTACACCTTGAAGCCACAGGTAAGCATTTTGTTTGCACGAGACACTTCACGGCCTAGATCCCAGACTGGTGCATCATGGGAAAAAAACAGAGGTAATTAAAAGGGTTTTGAGCACGTAATAGTCATCTGGGCCTTTAACGAACCAGGCCAGCACTGGGCTCCCTTTATTTGTTATTTTAATTTTTCAGACTTTGCTTTGCTTTGCTGTGAAGCCTCTGTAGGTTAGGCGGGCTAAAAATCTCCGGAGCAATAGCTATGGTTTTTAGCCATAATGTACGTTTTCTTTTTCACAAACGGTCACTTAAATGATTACTTCCGCTGTTGTCTATGATAGTGAATAACATCTCTACAATCTTAGCGAAAGTAATATCGACGGTTACTTAGATGATGACTTCCGCTGTTGGTTGTCTTTGACAATAACTGACATCTCAACAATCTTAGTGGAAGTAATACCCACGGTTACTCAAATGATAACTTCCGCTCAGTTTGTCGAAACAGTTCATCTTAAAAGAGGCACGTTTAATTATCTTTGGTCTTATCAAGGCTACCCAAGGTTGTGAACTGAGCTTAATGTTTTATACACAAGGGATGACATTTTCCAATGACAACCGAACCTCTTTACGAACAACGCCAATGCGGATTGTTTGAATATATTAAAGTGATTGTCTCAAGATGAAAAAGAGTAAATCAATATTGAATAGTTGTTGCATATAAGATGCCTTTTTATTTTAAGATTCGAATTTGTTGGATAATTCTGATACTTTTCTGCATTGGAAGCATTTGGTGGTCTGATGTCTTTAGAGGTTTGTAGCGAAAAACGAGTTCCCGTCTTTGCATGCAGTAGTCTTACTTTGAAAATGGCTTCTGATCGGCCTAAAAAAAACCCAAGTTAATCCTAACAAGATCTCTCCGTAATTATGCAGAATTTACTCCAAAATTTACAACGGCGATCAGGAAAGGGTCTGAAACATCGCTTCGAAACGAATATTCAGTGGTAAGTATTGAGGAAAGATTTCCTTTTATAAAATAAACTATCTGAGGTACTACACCCTGACTGGTAAATAGCATATCGTTTAATGCACCGGCAAACACATAGAAAATTGAAGTTAATCTACTTAACTGTACTTTTCTCGTAATCTCACAACAACCCACGTAAATAAATGCAATTGCCTGGTTAACCAATGAAAAGTGCTGTCTCTTGACGAAAGAATCCCATTCCAGTCTAAAACAAAGTCTCAGTCCCAAAAGCAATTTATTATTTGCGAATGTTTTCTTTATCCAACAACTACATTCATAATGATGTACGGAGTTATACGAAGACCTTACCAATTTCTATGTTGTGCGTGGTTCTTTCCCAAATAGGTAGCTAACTAGGAAGTTGATTTTGGCCAGATGAAAGAGACGGATCGCTTTAAAATCAAAAAACTGTCTTTCATGGCGACACACGTCGGCGATATTTTTCATCACGTTCCTCTTTGGCAAAAATACTCATTTGAACGATCCGCCATTACTAAATTACATTCCAATTGAGTTGAATCGATTATGGATCGAGAGAAAGAGAGAGAGGGACCTCATTTATTTTGCTTTTTGAAATTTTATAATGATTGATCCGAGCTCAATTTGAATGCAAAAAGACTGCCAACTCCTACGGAACCGTCTGGGAGGGAAGGGTGGGGCGGAGGATTTTGGATGTGTCACCATAAAATTTAACTGATCCTCCCTTAAGGGCTTTGTTTAGTTCTTATTAACCGAGCGGGAGGTCTGTATGGGAGAATCTTGACCTAGGTCGCCAGTACAGACCTCATTGCGTTCGGTCTGTACCAGCGACCGAGGTCAAGATTCTACCATACAGACCGACCAAGCTCGGTTAATAAAATGTTTATTATATGGCTGTGTCTTACATGCCAATTTTTTATATTCTTTGTACCTTTTTTTTCTAGACCGGTCTAGATGGGAAAATCTAGACCGCTTTCAATATTAATTTCAGCCAATCAAATTCGATAGTTCCCAGTCCTTGTGAGACACAGCCATATAATAAAATATGTTAATGACCCCCTGAGATTTTCTATATTTCCCACTTTGAAGTCTGATAGAGACGAGACGACTGATCTCCTCTCCTACGTTCCCTGCAAAAATCATGTTATCCAAAAAATGCCCCAGCCCCCCCTTCCCCCGCGACAACTTATGACTGATCCTTTAAAACACAAGGTTTTTTTGCTGCTCATCAGATCAGCAAACTTTATATAAAAGCTATGAAGTTCTATTATTTCGCTTTCAGGAACTTACAAACGATCGAAAACTTGAAGGTCGCTTGATAGCCCGCAGAAAGATGGTCGAAGATTACTGCAAGAAGCACAAAACAAGCCACCCTCTATTAGGAACTAACCTCCGCTATTTTCTTGTCTTTCGGAAGAGAAAAATTATCTATTGTTATATTCCGAAAGTTGCAAGCACACAATGGAAAAAAGAGTTGTTGGTTTTAAAAGAAGAAGATGAACAAGTGTATCGTCATGCAAATGTCACCGTGGCTAACAACAACTTGAATTACTACCCCGCGCAAGAAGCTGAAAAAATGTTGAAGAATTACTTCACTTTCCTCTTTGTTCGTGATCCGTTGGAACGCATACTCTCTGCTTACAAAGACAAGTTACTAAAGGACAACAAAATTTTTCGACGTGCGATTGGCAGAAAAATCATCGCACAATTTCGATCCAATGCTACTCGACATGCCCTCGAAACAGGGAGTGATGTCACGTTTCCGGAATTCATGAATTTTCTTCTGAAAACGCGGGCGTACACTTACGATGAACACTGGAAACCATTTGACAACCTTTGCCATCCTTGCACGATAAACTATGATTTTATTGGAAAATATGAGGATCTCGCTGAGGAAGCTCCTTATTTGGTAAAAAAGGCGGGAATTGACGACCGCGTTTCGTTCCCGCCCTTTCGAGCGTCGAACACCACCGCTGACCTGTTACATTATTATTCACAAATTCCTACCACAAAAATTTTACAATTAGCCAAAATATACGAAAGCGATTATAAAATGTTTAATTTTCCATTCCCAGGTAAACTAGCAAAGTTGTTTGATTCTAAACATAGCTAAGAACATAAATTTGGAAATCGTAAGAGGAGTCAGCAGTTTGCCAGGTGTACATGTGCCTTGGTCGCCAGTAAGTTACCCGTGGCATAATTGAATAGGGTCAGGCCTCATCAAGAAGAATTCAAATATCTCTCTTCTTGGGAAACTTTTCATATTCTTATAAATCGATCAGCTAGAAAAATACTTATCCTCATAATTATCATATTGAAAGTTTTAGCCGTAGTTTCCTTATTTGCAAGAAAATCTCAAAACGAAATTCATTCAGTGAAGTGAAGTGAATAATTGAATACCTTAATAGCAGCATAGGCTGAATTGCTAAGGTCTACAGTGTTACTAACGATCGGACGTCAGCATTATCAGGCGCCTCTGACAGCCGCTTCAGCGACCACACACTCCACCCCAGGGGAGGACATCCATCACAAAGTAATCTCGTGTGTGGGAAATTAACGTCTCCTACCCCTAACCCTTCATGAGAAAGGACCTTCATTTATTCGTCCTTATCCGAGAAGACTAGAATATCTATCCATTTCATTGATGTTATAGAAGGGTAGCAAATTCTTCTCAGTTATTTTAAGACCATGAGTACTGGTCCGGCCGGTGCTCGAACCCTCTACCTCCCGCACAACACAATCACAACAGTCCGGCGCACTAACCATTTGAGCTAACCAGGACCTTGTTAGAAACTGGAAATTTTTACACAGATTGAGTGTGTTGTACAACAACTTTCGATTTCACAGTTGAAATAACTTTTCGTTTGAAAAAAGTACTGCGAAGTTTGCTAAACCCTTTTCACTTGTTTAGTCATTTCAAATTTAGCGTGATATTTCCCTGACTCAAACTCATTTGCAAATGAAAGAACCTAATTGACGTAATTAACAACTATATCTTAGACCCGATTCATATCTCACGAGTTATCAGATTCAACGGTCCAGAAATTATTAATGGCAGAAATGAAGATATTTTCAATCACCGTCAAGTTCATTCTGGCATCATTATCATTTTTGTTACCTTTTTTTAATTAAAATGATGAATTACTTGATTGACGAAACGTACGCATACGCACATGGGCATAAATTCAACTTCCTGACGAACCAGTCGACACATTTTCCATGTCGATATCAAGGTGGGATTCCTTTATTTTGCTTTGCTCCCGATAAATCATTCAACACGTTTGTTTTGCATTTCCATTCATTCAACACGTTTGTGCGGGATGTCGAAGGTTCGAGCCCCGGCCGGACCAACACTCAGGGTCTTAAAATAATTGAGAAGAATATGCTACCTTTTTATAACATCAAGAAATGAATAGCGATATTCTAGTCTTCTCGGATAGAGACGAATAAATGGAGGTCCCGTCTCCTGCAGGGTTAGGGGCAGAAGACGTTAATTTCCCACGCACGAGATTACTGTGTGATGGATGTCCTCCCCTAGGGTGGGATGGGTGGGTAACAGGACCCCCGTTGATACCAGTGTTTACTACACTGAAGGGGCTATCCTGTATAAATGTAGATGTCTACATATGCAACCATCAATTTCCTTGTTTAAAGGTTAAACTTCGTTGCAACCCATTTAAAATCAAGACATTCCAGTTGGGAACTTGAAATATCATGACTTTGTTTCTTTTCCAACTTTTGAGCAATAACTTCAGCTGCTTACTTTATGGTAATTATGTTTTGTGAAACATGTTTTGAAAAATGTAATTAAAGGAAAATCCCGACTCCTCTAACAGTTGGAGATGGCAAAAAAATGAGTCGCGGAACTAAAAGCTGGGTGGAGAAGCGGAGAAATTGATGATATGAACATATGTTTGCTAAGTTTGTGTGCATCATGTTTCTCGGTATGTTCTACGACTTATCTGGAGTATTTGCAATCCTCACACAGCTTAATGCAGCTCAACACGCAAGTTTGAAAGGTTCTCTCGACGATGCCTTAGGTGGTGTCTTATTTTACGGCAACTGTTATCCATATTTAAACCACAAACTTAATTCAACACCGTTCGAATCCCGTGTTGTTGTTGCTGCAGAGGATTGTATAGAAGCATGCACCGTGAATCATCGATGCCGCTCCATAAATCTCAAAGCTGTTCCTGAAGAAAATATGACATTTTCGTGTCACCTCCTCGATACAGACAAGTTCAATTCGACGATTTTGTTTGCTGCAAGTTTGGATTTTCATCACTACAGCTTCGTGGTAAGAATTTATTAGTTTATTTGCTATATATCGTGTGAGTCTCTGAGGGAAAATTGCAAAAGGCAATTAACAGACCCGAGGGTTAAATATTTCATTTTGAGGCAGAGCAGAAAAGCATCCAAACTGAAACAAGAAAGAAAAAGAAAAGAATAACGTATTTCCCTTTGATATGGTTAGAGGATAATTGTGATTTTTTTTCCACTGGTGACTGTCGGTCAAACTAGTTGCAAATACTGAGCCGTTCAAACCCTGCTGTAATTAAATTACGCAATTCCCCTATTTCGTGTCTCCATTGAAAGATTGCAATTTGTTTTGGTTCGAGAAATTGTTTCCAATTCGCGATTTTCAACCTCTTTTGAGCCTCAGGCATTATCGCCGTCATTTTATAAAATACCATTTTCTAGCTAAAAGTAAAAACAAAAAGTAAACGCTCCCAATGGACCCAGAAAAGAAATTCGTGTTATTATTATTCACATAGACCTTTCGTATTCACAATGTCCCAGCAGGCTTATTAACTTCCAACTTTACCCTTTTGTTATATGGTCATGATATGCAAAATAACATCTTTGTGACTGTTACAAATTATTTGGCATTTTTTGGAAGAATAATCCACGTGCAAACCAGTGGGTTTTGACTGGTTTGAACTTGTATCAACTCACCGTCTAATCCCCAGATATAGTTGAAAGATCTTGAAAATGCAATATTACAGAATTTTTACATATTGGAACCGGCTACACACCATAATGAGTCCCTCCAAGAAAATATCATCTGAGCTCAGAAGATGTTCGTTCGTTCCTTCTAATTCTTTTTAACTCAGACTAGTTAATAGTCACTGTCAGTAAAAATCAGATATGATCATCAAAATAGTGGACACAGCCAAAAATCGATTTTGCTCATACTTTCTATATTCATAAACCCCTGTATCAAAGTAATCAAAACAGGGTTAGTTTTTTCTAATGTTTATTTTTTTTAGATTAATTAAATAAAAACGATCGAGTGCGGATCGAGCCGAATTTCGATATTCGAAATATCGAAATTCTGTCATATTCATGGCTTGCTAGCGTAAGTCAAAAATGATCTGTGAATTTTCCTTTGCATTAACATTATACTTAGGGCCTTGAACAATTTATTGATGGGATGAAAAGCAGATATGTTCTCGTTATAAATATTTTATGTATTTATTTCTCAATGACACCCTGCGGCTGTTTTTCAATAGCTCTATGGTACCCTAAAACAGCTGCCAAAAACGCTTGCTGGTACGCGAAGAAGAACCCAATAACTATATTGCAGATACAGATTAAGGATAGTCGTTCTAAATATACTTTTAATTTCTTGGGATAATTTTTGGTTTTGAAGAAACCCTTGTTTGAAGTTTGCTTATTTTCGAGATTTGCTGCAGCCGCCATATTGAAGTTTCAACTAACTTGACCATTAAGACACAATTGATCGCATGTCGAAAAGTACATTTGAAGTTAAAACATGATAAGCTAACTTAAGATAAGACTTAGTTTCTGTTTCTTATCTAGAAAGTTAACTAAATTGGTGGTAGACTCCGGCAGATTTTTGCTTGTTGTCAGTTTGTTTACACAAGATATTTGGTGACT